AAGGAAGGAAGGAAGGAAGGAAGGAAGGAAGGAAGGAAGGAAGGAAGGAGAAGGAGTCAGAGGAGAAAGGGGAACGGAGGAACGGAGAAGGCTTCCTTAGGATGCCCTGTTGTGGAATAATCTTTCTGCACACTGTGAAAATGTGTCGCTCTGGTTGGTTTAATTGGTTTCTGTTGGTTTTAACTGAACGGCCAGTAGCTAGGCAGGATTTCTAAGCACAAAGGACTATGGGAAGAGGAAAGGCAGAGACTCCAGGAGAGGCAAAGCAAGCAGCATGGGCATACAGCGTAAAGGTAACAGAGCCCATGTAAAAGAACGTCGTTTAAAAGACACAGGTTAATTTAAGTTAAAACAGCTAGTTAGAAACAAGCCTAAGATATCAGCCGAGCTTTCATAATTAATAATAAATCTCTATGTCTCTATTGGGGAGCTGACGGTCCAGATGAAAAGTCCAATTACAATGCCCCCCTGAGGAGACCACATGTCAATTGGCAAGAACTAAAAGAGTCACCATGCCAACAGTAAAGAAGAGTGCCCCAGGCTGAGGGACCTGTGGGGACAGAGGTCTGGGAGCAGGAAAGCCTGTTTTGTTGTTGTGTTGGCTATTTTTTAAGTCTTCCAGAAGTTTATCAAAAAGAACAGAGCCAGTTTCAAAGATAACCCGCAGTAGTGAACACAGACTCGGTTCTCAGATAAAAAGCTGCCTTGAAGAAATGCAAAGATCCACACGCAGACATTGGAAATTTCCCCTTGCTTGACATGTGCATAGCACAACGCAGAGCAGACTGGACGACAAAGACCCTCAGGGTGCGACAATATGGCCTTGCTTCACCTCAGGGCAGAGTTGGAAGCGAAATGGCCCAGCAATGCCACAGGTTGGCATCTTTACCCAACACTCTATTTGCAAATAAAGCCCCTGCAGATGGAACTGAGCTGAGCTCATGCTGGATAAGGTCAGACTTAATCGGCCATAGCTGTGTAAAGAGGAGAGGAGACAAGCTTGGGGGCAGGGAGCCGAGGCAGGATGATCACAAGTTCCAGGTCACCTGGACTACACACTGACACATTGTCGCAATACAGATAACACAGGAACGGAGTGAAGCAGTAGGGGAGGCTGGTGGTATGTGGCAACAAGCCAAGGGGTGCGAGAATACGAACAGTCACCCACCAGATCCAGGGGAGGAAGTGGTCCGACCCACAGAGAGGTGGGAGCCTGTGCTTTGTTCGTTGGCTCCAAACCCTGGGGTCTGTGAGTGTGTGGATTTGTTCTAGTATTCTGATCTGTTAGACCACCGCATCCCTAGCAACACCCCCAGGGGAGGATCCATGTGTGCTAAGCACTGAGAGAAAGTCATCAAAACTGGCACAGCAGGCCAGGCGTGGTAGCACACACCTTTAATCCCGGCACAGAGGCAGGCAAGATCTCTGTGAGTTCCAGGTCAGTCAGGGCTACGTAGACAGCTCCTGTCTCAGAAAGAAACAAGCAAGCAAACAAACAAACCCTGCCACATAGTGTATACCTGAAATCCCACGGAGGAGGATGAGGGGTTCGAGGTCATTCTTGGCTATGTGGCAAAGTTCCTGTCTCAAACAGGGGTGGGAGCTGGGTCTGGGGAGATGACTGAACAGTCGAAACAGGTTATTTCGGTTGTTGCTGTTATGAAGGACCAAGTTCAGCTCCCAACACCCACGTGGGCTTCCAACCATCTGTAACTCCAGCTCCCAGGGGAATCTGGCGCCCTCTTCTGGCCCCCAACAGCATCTGCACTCATGTGTACAACCCATACAGACACAAATGCATAACTTAAAAAACGAAAAAAAGATAGGAATGAAAAGAATACTTGGGAGATTGTAGGTGTTAGGGGATCAGTTGCTCTGTCTCACTGTAAGGAGGGTAGGGGTCACTGACCTAATCAGTCAAGATTGGGATGAGTGTAGGGTGTAGGACTGGATCAGAATCCCTCGGTAGATGGAGATCAATGCCTTTCTTTCCCCGCTTTCCACACAGTATCCTGCTGCTGGGTGGGGACCCAATGCTTCCCACAGCCTGCTGTTCCTCCAAAGACTGACTGACAGGCAGACAGACAGACAGATAGACACTCCACTGCGTTCAGGTAGTTACCCTCTTGAGGGATTTCTTTAGAGTAAAAAGTTAAGAAAGAAGAAATCCCACCACCCCCACTACATTCCCTCCCCATAAAATCTCCTTCCTCTGCACGCGCGGGGGCTCGAAGTCAGAAGTGTGGGACCCGAGGAGTGCACCGTCTCCGTTCATCACCCACGCTACTCAGCCAGCAGCGTCGGCTCCAAAACACGCAGGCTTCAGGAGCAGCGTGAAAATGGGCTGCATGCTATCAGCTGACACCCCTCCGGGCCTCTTTTTAATAACGCCTAAGGGGGAAAAAGGTAATTTTTCACTTTAAATAGGGAAGGTGTGGTGGCATGAGCTCTGGGGTTATTAATCGTCACCCTTGCCGCCTGG